AAATTGACCTTACTACGACCATAGATCGACAAACGAGGTTCCGCATGTTGATATTTTGAGTCTTCGAGATCAGATAGTACCTCCTTGAATAAAGAAAAAAGATTTTTAAAACTTTTCAAAAATATGGCTCCACTTACCTTCAGAACTTCTGCAAAATACTTGCCCTGGACATAATTGTCTGTTTTGATAAAGATCTCACGTAAGGTAGATTCGCCAACAGGATTATATCTAAGTTACAATTTGCTTCAGCTCCCACGCTCACTTGAAACTATACGAGTAAAAATGTAAAAATTTTACGAAGAAAGAATGATGGAAGTTTTGAAAAGGTTTGAGTCAGATAATAATAACATATGCTTTGGATAACTTAGAACCAATTCCAAAAAGTTGTCCTACTTTGTATTGAACTTGTCGAATCGATGGAATGTATTTCTATCGGCATGCACATCCAACATGTCTACGGATAAATCGTACGCATCAATTCCCATCTTCTTGAATACTTCCTTCATCGTAATCGGTTTACTGTTCTATAAAAAAATGCAATTACACACAGCTTTTAGATAATTTTATAATAGATATATAATATAGATAATTTTATAGATTTAAATTAGAAAGAGTGACTCTGACGTTTTCAAGTACCACGGTGTTTGCTTCCGTCTTTATCTTCTTCTTGATGAATCGAAGCAGATGTTTCTGATTCATTGATGACGCAGCGTGAATGTGGGTATCAACCTAAATTTGATTTCGATTGTTTACATGACGCGAAACTCCCTTGTTCTAAAACAAGGGCAAAGCTATTCAACTACCCTCTTACTTTTCTGATATTATAAAAGTCTCTATGCGAAACAGCTTTTTGCTCGTGTAATTCGCGAAGTTCGTTGAGTAGAACGTGAAGTTGAAATTTATTTTGAAGATATGACAGACGTCGGTAGCAGAACGATTTTCTATAAGCATTCTTTCAGAGGAGGTCATTTTCTATTTGAAATGAATAAAATATCAATTCAAAACCCACAATGGTCCATCGACAATCATTTGTGTGAGTCGCTCCGTGTCAGTTAGGAATTTGTCCTTTGAGACGTAAAATTCGGCCAGTTCAGGTTTGAGCTTTCCGTGTTCATCACAAACTTCGACCTATATACACTAATTACTATCTCACCATCACAAAAGTCAAACGATTTTACCAGCTTACTCATCAAAGCATTTTTGCCTTATTTAGAATAAAAAAAAGTTTTAAGTGTACAAATATTAGAAAGATTTGGCAAAAAGATACTAACCACACCATCTCTCCTCCTCAACGTATACTTTGTCGAGTACACCGGCAACGGTGTATTGAGTCCCCAGTGATCTTTTGGTGGCTCTGGTGGATTAAATGATGTGTTGGCAGCTAAAAAATAGTATTGCCTCACGGTTAAAGACAAGCTTGTGATTAAAGCACAATGTTTAGAATCAAAGGAGACCACACATGATGAGAAAGTGTTACGCAGGGTGAATCTCACAGTAAGAGAATGAAAATAAAAACGTAAGTGATTACAATGGAAACTATGTGTCATGCACATCAACTTTGTTTTTATTGATTTTGAACGCACTGATTGGCCAGTAGATCACTCAGAGTAAGTAAGGGAAGAACATTTCAAGCTCGGATTATATACTTCGTAACGGAAAGAACCTTTACCACTGATAAAGAATGGTGCAGATGAGTCCCTCCTTAGCGTCGTGTCTAAAGTAATAGCGGAAATTTGGAAATGTTAACAAAGATATGAATAGTTCTGAAGAGACTTCACTGATTAGATAATCATTTTGGAAAACACCAATTGTCCTTAGAAGTCACATTACATTCAAAGAAAGTAGAGGAGTGCAGTACTCGACCAGTTGGTGCGATGGTGCGCCAATCTTTTTAATCAATTTAACCTACATAGTTCATCATCTGAATAAAGTAGTCATCCAAGGGGCCGCACAAAGGGACGAGCGTATGTAAAAGTTCATAAGAAGCGAAGAAAAATTATTTTACAAGTTCTCTAAGTCAAAAATAACAATAGAATATTATGTAGCACTTACTGAGCTCGGTATTTTTTCGCCGAAATTTGGGCAAGTTTCCCGGATATTCTCCACTAAGGAAACGTTTTGTTGTGATAGGGAACTGATTCCCAATCTTCTCCATGTACTGATTTCGCATATGGAGTGCTTCAATTAAATGAGAGGCAGCGTCTTTTAGGTCTTCGAGAGGAACCTAGAAGAAACTTTTTAGCGAGTCAACAGCAAAAGAAAGTAACTAAATCAACATATAGTTAGATAGCATTACTGTGAATAATGGCTCAAACTTCTGAGCCAAGACGAACTTGTAAAACTTACTCCAGACAGCTCTTC